TCTGTCTGTCTGTCTGTCTGTCTGTCTGTCTGTCTGTCTGTCTGTCTGTCTGTCTGTCTGTCTGTCTGTCTGTCTGTCTGTCTGTCTGTCTGTCTGTCTGTCTGTCTGTCTGTCTGTCTGTCTGTCTGTCTGTCTGTCTGTCTGTCTGTCTGTCTGTCTGTCTGTCTGTCTGTCTGTCTGTCTGTCTGTCTGTCTGTCTGTCTGTCTGTCCTCAGTGTTAATATTACTACTTCGGATCCGGGTCCGAAGGCTGATACCTCGGACAACCGTGCCAAATTTGGTATACTAACTTCGTCAAGTAGTACACAGTACTTGGTAGACAGCATTTTTCTCATGCGGGCTGGCAGAGCTCGTAGGTGGAGACCTTCGGAGCGCCCCCAGCGTGGCGAACACACCTGTCGAGGATGTCCTTCAATGTACAAAGCCAGTCAGAAATGGAATTGTACGATACAGTTGTCCAAATTTTTGGCTTGTCATGGCAGCTCTGTATCATCCTTGGCAGACACTCGCGATTTCGATGGATGAACGCGACATCTGCTGTGTAGAGTCAACTTATTTGGCGTTTTCAGAGGCTGCTGTCAGCAGTTGTGCAGCCCATCTTCTCTGAAATATAGGAGATACTCGAATAAGTGACGCCACCACCAGAAATTGATCATTTCATCGCCAAAACATCACCACCGACTGGGCGAAATCAGTGCTGAACAGAGACGCATTGTTCTCATGGTTATACGATTCATTTAAATGCTTCATTTTAGCGCGCGAAATGACACTGGTTGTGGGAGTGATCCGGTTCTGGCCTACCACACTCATTCCATCGCACACGCACCTCCAGTCTTTCAGATAAACCGGATAGAAACTGACAAAATGAAAGTCAATGGCATTCATTGGTAGCCATTTCTTACAGTGTATCCAGTCAAGCCCGGTGATTAACGCGGATACCATCCGAGGAGGCGAGTACCCAAACTGCAATCGCTTCCGTACCCTATGCAAGGCCGAAGAATGTCCACTCTCTGCTTGTATCACCTAGAGTCGAGCACAAAAATGCACTCTTTTCGCTAATCAGTCATCTTTCATGTGCTCTAGAAACCAAACAACCACAGATTTTCGCGATGAGTACAACCTCTGATTGACTTCCAGTTCGCATAACTGAAAGCTTGCTTCCAAAATAATTCTTTGCGGATTCGTTGGCAACAAACTATATGCTGTTTGCTTCCAAAACATGTCAAAGGACGGGATGAGTCTGATCAGTTCATCCAAAAACACCCGCGCCGTTCTCCTTTTCAAAGACGAGAGCGATGTTGTCTGCATATTGCAGATCGATGAGGTTAACTTCAGCAGCTATACGAGCAACAGATTTTCGAAGGCTTTCTGAACTTTCATCAAATTATTCCAAAAACACAAAGTGAACATCAGTTATTGTGCAGAAGCTTTTGGAGAGTGGTCCACGCACTCTCATGCCCGCACTTCGAGAACACAAATGACTCATCATAATTGCAAGCACCCGGGAAATCCCTTGCCGGACAAGCGCGTCATGAGAACAGAGAGGTCAATGGAGTAGAAAGCGCCTCGAAAACACCGAATTACCCTCGCATATGGCGTCCTTCTTTCGCCTGATAAGCGGTGAATGTGCGTCCAACACAACCGTTTTCAGGCCGAAATCTCACTTGCGGCTCTTGAGCCAGTATTTTCAGTGGCATTATAAGGCGATGAATAAAAAACTGAAGCCAAAATCTGAACAGATGCTTCTGTGACTCCCTAGGGTCTCCGTTTGAAATGGGCACTATCACTCCTTCTTATTGGACACTGTTTCTGTTAGACACTTCTTGATTTATTGGACAGCCTCCCATTGCAGACTGAAGAAGCACCGGAAAAAGGACACTCATAACCGTGAAAAAAGCAGATGAGTGGCAGGCGGTCCGGGAAATCGTTTGGTCAGAATATCTGTGCATCCGTAGACCTCCGAGCTGGCACGGGGCCCCAGTTGACTTTCCATGAATCGGGTTTAGAGTGAAGAGTCGACTAAGTGCCAGGTTGTTATAGGGACTGTTGGTTAAATTGTACAACCTAGAGGTATTCTTCTTTATTAAAGATGGCCGTCCCAGTTTAGTGCCTGATGGTTTGATTCGCGGGCAGTATTCGCTGATTGACTGCGTGGACCAAGTGAAATAATTTCGGGCTTTTCAGGTGCTCTTCGCCTTTCCCACTTTCTTCGCTTTTTTCTCATCTAGCAACAGTTGCACATGGGTTTTCGCTTGACGATCGATTATTCGTGGTGCTGAATTATCGCATCCGTGCCAACAGACATGTGAACACCTGAATGCCCTAGTGAATCGCAAAAAGTATACCTCGAAATGGCTTAGTAAAAAAAGTTACTGAGACAGACTGCGACAGTTCCATGCCAATTTCATGCAATTAGAACCCGACTAATTTCGATTAGGTCCACATGTGCTGCGCTGCAGACTAACTTTGTAGCCTCATTTTAAAACGTTCTCTTTGCAACAGTTCTCAAATGTGAATCAGCAAGCAATTAGTAGGGCGTTCAGAAGTCCAAAAATTCATATTGTTTTTTGAACAATCCTTATAGTTTATCATGACCAGCTTTGAGATGTGAGGCGGTGATCGTCACACAGTTATTTTCGTTCTTTTCGAAGCTGCACCGAAAAATAACTGAACTCGTGGGCACTCGTGAGAACATCACAAACGAGAGATTCAGCTGCGTTCCAGGTGAGTCTCTCGAAAAACCAAATTAGTTTGCAAATGAGTGTATATTCGCTAATTTCGTGAGCTTATTCTTTGAATACAAGGTAGCAGTCGGTTGTACTAGACCAATTCGCAGCGGCCTGAAGGGTAAGTAAGCGTTTTTGAGAGATATTACTTCAGACAAACCTGCCGGACGAAAATCACAGGGTATGCTTTCACTTTCCTACCAAGCAAGCATCCTTCTTTCCGTTGAGCTGGAACTAAATCGATTGCTGCGTAACCTGTTGCAGAGGCATTTGGATCGCCAGAAATGCGTAGCCGAAAGCAAGAGAACAGTGATGAGACACTCGGCTCAACGAGTTCTTGTGTTTGCTCTGGAATGGGAACACTAAGAGCAGCCAGAAACGTTGGATTGGATGCTAAAAGATTTACTCTGAGATTAGCGGCGGAGACCAACAAAGATGCGACATAAATAGTCTTGTCAGTCCTAACAGTTGGCTTTACAAGGACGGTGATGTCAGCTGTGCGAAGAAAAGTGTGTAAAGGGAGGATAAACCAAAATGGTTGGACTAAAACCTCGGTTCCTCCTCGCGTAGACCGAAATAACTCCCATTTTTCGGGCGCAGGTGACCACCTGTGCTCTACCAATCACGCCTCCAGCTGCCTAACGTAGGCCTAACGCCTTATCTGCATGCATGACCTAAGCGTAAATAGATGAAAACAACATTCCATGTTGCACTTTACCGTAAACAATCACATCAGCAACCTTGTCCACCGTCATGATGAACAATAGTGAGCATCAGAACAAATCGAAAAGTGCAGATCCCCTAACTGAAGGTAAGACGAGTCGGATTCCGTTGCGCCTCGAAAGGAATCAACGAGCTCCCAGTCCGCGTTCATCAATATCTATTCTATTTGTCACCATGACTACCGCAGCCAGCGTATCACCCAGCTGTATCCTTCCATTATCCGCTAAAAAATGTTACAGCTCTCGAATCTCAAACTATAGACACCAGAGAATAATTGATTCACGTCCCTGGAAAAGAGAGGAACAGATGTTGCTAATGTTGCCGCAGATGAATATTTACGAATTTACTTACGATTCTTGTCTAGCGATTTTGACTCTCGTGAATTCAACGTGGTTTCACTAATTATCTAGATGTTATGTTTTTTTATCGGTATAACTAGGCTGCCTGCGTAATCTCAGGGGGCAGTTCTACAGATGATGGATATATCGAAATTGAACGTCCGATCAGTGTGCTTTCACTTGGGGGAATACGGATAAAATGGATAAAATGGCTTGGAATCTGTCTTTCTTGATATGTGTTAGATCGACAACCGCAATCGAATGAGCATACCTCTGATTGAACTCTGTGTAGGATGGTTAAGGCACAATCCTCACAATTCGAAGTTCCATGATTAGAACTCAACAACGTATTTTCAACTGGCTGGTTTTCGGTCTTGTATTACCTCTGCCTTTGTGGTTCTTTTTGGCTTTCGTGACGGTGGACGATTTCGCATCCCGAAGTGCGGATTTTAAAGGGGCTCTGCTAGTCACGCAAGTCAGGGTGGTGTGGCCAACCACTTTCCTCTTGACTTTTCACGGAGAACTGGAGTTTGCCGTTTAACGGTCTTGCTGACGATAAAACATTGCAAAAATAACAAATATTTGGGATTTCAAATACTCGTCAACCTGATTCCAATTTTGATATCGACAACGGACAGTGGTCGACCCAAACACGGCATTAGAGTGGGTCATATGACGTGCCACGTGACCAAAAACGCATGAGACATGCGTTTAAAAGAAAATCAATATACATTACAACGTGCACCTGACTGTAGCCATCCATCACGTACTGTCATGATAGTGTCAGAGTAGAAAAGAGCACCGACACATGGGCAACAAGGTCACCACTAGTCAGACACGTTCGTACTGGAAGATAGGAGAAGAACAAAACAACGGTCAAACGGTAAATCTGACGGAAAATTCTGATCAAAAACACGAAACACGTCCTGTCATTTGCCGAAACAAGTGTACATCATTCACTGAGTCACACAATCCAAATCGAGCTCCAAACCACGCAGAACAAAATTACCCATCGCGTCCCGGTTTAAAAATTGTTCAAGAACCTGATTTTCCGAACCTGAAAGTCAGGGTGTCAGAGTCATTGCAACACTTAAATAAAGCCTGCTCCAGGAGATATGTCAGCACGCCAAGCATTAATTTCAGTCATTCAGCAGTCAGCGTCAGCAGACACAGACTGTCCGGCAGAATCTCAAAGCCATTCAAATCTACAACAATGGACAACAGTCATCCTTCTTCGCACCAGAAAACGAGGCCCTTTCTGTCTATCTCCCACACGCGCCTGAGTCTTTCAACATCAGAAATTGCACAAGCCGGTTGTAAAGGTGATGACAATGGAGGTGAGGAAAAGCAACCTGGAGCAGAGGGACATTCCAAACATAGTGATGACAGAGGTTCGGACAATACGGTTCTAGATGTCCGCTTCTCACGCAACAATACGAAAATACAAACGAGCTCCAGAGCTAACCAACCAAATTTTCTCCAGTCAATTTTGCGATCAAGACGCAAGGACGATTGCAGATCCAGGAAAGAATCCCCCATCAAGTTTTCGACCAACGAACACGGTGATCAGATGGATAACAGTGTGAAAACGAATGAAGATTCTTCTGTAACAACGACAGATCAGGCTGATCACGCAGATCGCCTTCTGTCGCCCACTCCTCCCCTATTGATTAGGAACTTGGAAAACAGGCGCTGTAAGGAAAAACTGAACCAAGAAGAAATCCAGCCGCTAAACTTATTTATTGAGAATTTGAAATCAGACTTGAATAGACACAAGCAGCGTCAGTTGCAGCTACAGCTTGAGTTGCAATATTGCACACAACACAACCAAGAATTGGAGTCAAAGTTGGCCATCGCAAGATCCACTGGTTTGAAGCTCGAGGCGACCAACGGTCGCTTTATTGCTGAATCTATGAAACACAAATATCTGAAGACGGAATCGCGACAACTGACAGCAGAACTGACCCGTAGGAGGATGGTGCTTGAGGCTAAGGAGACCGAGAAACGTGAACTTATGCAAGATTTCGAAAGGCTACAAAGTATCAAATCTCACTGTGAACGACAGTGTCAAGAAGCCGTACTAGAATCCAATATCACCGCTCAACAACTTAAAGATGTACGAGAAAAGTGTCAAACAATGGAATTTTTCAAAGATGACAAGTCACAAGTACGTAAAATGATGTACAATCTACAAAATGCATTAGGGCGCGTGCGGGTTTTCGCTTCCTTGAAACCCACTGTTCATGAGTCGTGTATTCAGTTTTTATCATCATCCAAGATACTATTCCATCTTCCGGCGAGAGAGCAGCAAAACAAATCCAAAAGTCGCGGATTTGATGAAGTTCCCGTACTTTGCAAACTGTCCCACGTTATGCCACCTGGAAGTTGTTCTCCGCTGGAACTATACAATGAGGTGAGTACCACCATAGATGGCGTGGTAGACGGACTGAATGCTTGTTTCACAACAGTTGGACCTAAAAACTCAGGAAAAAGTATGACCCTATTCGGAGAACCCGTAAGTTGCGTGAGACCAAACAATTCATCGTCTCGCATCAAAGGCGCGTCCTCGTTTCGACAACGTCAATCGCAATTTCACCAACTGTTCAGCACGACGACAAATGCTACTAGCTTCACGGAGTTATTCCGTTCCAACGAGTTTGCATCACTCTATGGATTTCTTGGACTTTGTTTAGTACATCTGTTACAAGATATCAATATAAAAACCATCATTGATACTACAGCTACCGTCTGTCAGCAGTCGGTCTATCGGGAATACAAAATAAGCCTAGCGACGATATTGGTACCGCTGGATTCGGAACAACCTGAGTTCGATTTGCTGGCCAACCAGCCTGTGAATTTCACCAAATCAAGCCTGCTAACCGAAACCCATACGGATCCAACTTTGTTCTTGTTAGAGCTAGAACACCAAGAAATCGCCAGTCTGGTAGATGTGGTACAAGTATGTGAACTAATACAACGTCGTATTCGCCATGGCCTTCTCGCCCGTGGACGAAGGAACTCGGCACCGGTTGACATGGCCCATAAAATAGTTCTGGTAAAAGTACAAACGCGTTCGAACATACCTGTTACCGAGCGTATTTTCAACACCGGCGGACTGTTATTACTCATTGATACAGTTGGTTTACAGGATGAGTTGAAAGGTCACACTGTGCCTGGTTGGGAAAATAAGCCATGCATATCGATCCAAGCGTGGAGGGATGTGGCTGCCCTGATACAAGCGATGCGTCTCAAGCCGAAACCCCATAACTTTGAACGCACTCGTTTATTACGTCTCATAAAACCTGGTCTGTTGTCATGGGACAAACCGAGACTACAAACGAACAGCACCACGGCATGCTCCGTTCTACTTCATCTACCATGTGATGCATCGCAGGCTTACCTTACAATGCAATGCCTTCGGCTTGGTATGTGGGCCATGCATTTGGACCGAGAGAGAGCGGCCTCTCACTGTCGGACATGCCATAGCACCAGTGAACAAGATGTTCCGGGCAGCAATGAATGTGGACAGTCGGGCTGCACATGGATGATTGGTACAGTCGGTCAGAGCCAATCTGCCAATCCTACTCGCATTCGCTCGTCGAATATCCATAGAACAAATTCCCTTTTGGGTTGGCAAAATAGAACCCATTCCAGTACGATTACGGCACAAAACCTGAGCAAATCCACAGTTGGTTTACAAAGAACCTGTTCTCTGGGATAATTCGGAAGTTATCTCAAAACAGCAGCCCAAAATAGTGTTGAACAGACCACCCTCTGACTGCGTTCACAATATGCTCCCGAAACTGAGAAATTCATTAATCACGTGTTTCGATTGCACCTGTGTGATTACTTTCCACCAAGTGAGAAAAACCAAACGTTTTGTGTCAACAGTGAAAAAAAGTATCATCACAATGGCAGTTGTTCCCATCAACACGTCATGTGAACTAAGTAATGACATTTTTTAAAACAGCTGTCATGATCACTGTGTCAAGTTTCTCTCCCAACCAATCGTCAATCATTCTTGGTAATTCAGTCTAAAACAGTGAAACCTTTGACATTCACACATTAGAAAGACATCACAGATCAGATAAAACTGAGTGTCAGGCTACACGGGATTTATGGACCTATACTAACCCAGTGACTGCAATGCCTAGTTCGTCTGCAGTTCTGGTCGTGCGCATGCATACCGAACTATAAAACTGAGAATTCCGGAACTCATACGTGTCCACGACACGGCGAAATGTCGGGGTTTTTAAATAAAAACATTTCTCAGTATCCTGGTTGACCGGAATCGCTTGCAAACACCAGCGTAGAGTTTCTCCGTCTAACTCCGTCTAACTTTCTCCGGATAACTATGTCAGTGCATCGCTATCTTGTTGTGCTGCATAAGAATTCATGAGCAAAGCACAATGAATGTAGCCATCATCATCATCATTGCGAGCTGTAATATCCGCGTACTTGCCGCACGGTGGTTGTAGCTGCCAGAGTTTCGTTCACCGATGATCTGGGGAGGTGAGGTAGGTACCTGCGCACTGGAGGCGGGAGATGAAAAATCAATGCGTAAATACAGCACTGTAGGTGGACTATTAAGTGGGGGGGAGGGGGTGGACAGGGATCAACCCTTGACTTAGCAGAGGATTATGAAGGAGATCACGAAACGCTTGGGTGCTGTCGGTGCTACTCGCCTTCCAGGATGGGGACCACGTGATCCTCACTGCGCCTGGTTGGAGACACTACACGATATGGCTGCCAACCGATGTCAGTGACAATCTTGTTGTCAGTTTCTATCCAGATCGCCGGAGTGAGTGTCTAGAGGTATATGCACCTCGGAATGATTGTGGTAAGCCAGCACTATGTCCGTTTTCCGTCCAACTTTACTCTTTTGTTTACAATAAGGCATAGTTAAATCATGGTTGTACGGCAGTGAAGCCTCGGTGTTGAACACTGATGTCATGCTGTCGATGACGATGATACACGACACGCGTTTACGCCAACATGCCACAAAGATAGAAAGTTTAAAGTTTGTGGAATTCGAACTGAGGTATTTCCATAAGACTCGCTTTCCCCCTGAAAAATGCATGGTTGCGGCCGATCGGTGGAAGGCTCGATAAATCGAGTTATGTTTCCCGAGAGCGAGCCTCATTCATTTGGATTACTTATCTCGATGAAGTCCCTCTCCGACGCATTAAGTCTTGAGCTTTCATAACAAGGGCTATGGAACAGATCACAGTGAGCCAGTCGCATTCTCCAAGAAAGGTCAACAGATGACTGCGTCTTGCCACCTAAGTGCACTTTACTTTTCACATCATATTTGGTGAAACGCAGGCGGTTCCAACGCCACGTTCAAAATGCGAGCTCTCCAACGCTACTTAAATAAGCCGATGTGAACCCAACACACTGTCCATCAAGCTAGTCGCTATACGCATCTCGGCCTCAAAAGATAATCCAGAATGGAAAGACCTCAAAAAACCTACGATTACGGTAGCAGACGTCTGAACAAGACACTCGACTTCTGTCGGTCCGAATCAACAGCTCTGTAGGTCCTTTTGTTTTGATAACCCGAATGTAGCGCTTGCAAATTCTCGCTTTGCATGATATGGTGGCATCAAACGGAAACGTTCAACCGGGTGGCATGACTCAAAATCGCATTACTTACTTTGGCAGCGTTTGGTCGAGGTATATATTCGATATCGTTTGCTTTGCACCAGTACTCACAAATCATGGCAGAATGTTACCCAGCCTGATAAGACTGGAGAATGCATTTAGCGATTCGGGAAGCCAAATCAAACCACCGGGCATATGTTCAACTCCTTGTGGAATAATGCAACCGACGATGAGCACATAAATCGTGTACTCTTGGATTCTGCAGTTACTCAGGCTTATTTGAGGAAACTACCAATCAGAGCCGAGTAGATGTTACAGTCGTGCATCACGTGACCTTGAAGGCGTTAGCCACGTGGTCACGTGTTCGATCAATCTTCCCCAAAACTAATTCACTAATAACGAGAAAATCACTACACTTCAGCCAAGCTTCCCAAAATCAGACCACAGTGTCATTGTCTTGGAATAACTCGGTAACGTCTTGGGCGGTAGAATGCTCCGAGATCTCGATCAACCTTGCCATTTGTAACCCAATCAGTCCACTACATTCAGAGGCTGGTGACAATCTGTCTGGTGATGTGCAGTAAAAGAGTTCACCAGCATGCGTCCACGAGATTTTCCTTCAGATACTATGATATTCAGCAAATTTCCCAGACTGGTGGTTGTGTTCTTAGGTTCATCAAGCAGGTGAGTTCTAGTACGCAGGTAACTAAGGATCAACTGGGTCTTATCAATGCTAAGCTAGATAAAAAAATGTTACCGTATTCCGATGAATTTATTTGCATTGATGGTCTAACCAAAAAAGGTAAACCAAACGCCAGATCTTAAAAAGCTATATATAT